CCTTATGAACACCATAACTACTCACGAGAAGTTCGTCAAAACTGTCAAATAAAGGTTTTCGAAAGTTGACCATCAGGTTTTTTATGGTTGCACTTTTTCCTCCACAAAGTGCAAAACCAGTGTCGATGGCAGTAATTATGACGAGGCGATTCGATAAAAAGATTTTCGATGATCCATAACAGGAACTCTGATGCAAAAGAACAAAATTAACACCATGGCGAAGGTGGGGCATTATGTAAACAGTGTATGAAAGTGCGTATTCACAGTGCGTTCACCAAGTCATAACGCACACAACGCGAAACGGTTTGCTTCTGCAGAAAGGGAACAAAAGAAAACAAGGAAGTATGTACAATTGGTGAAGCGAAGAAAATTTTGAGATCCAAAAGACCAGTGGTAAATCGTGCGCGCAGTGGGAGGAGAGCAGCACTATGAAAGGCAAGTGGAATTAGAAACCCTTCTTTGAGGTTAGTGATGGCAGATAGTCTCGAACAGCTGAGAGCAAGGCGTAAAGACTACGCCGTTTCTTCTTTAAGTAGGCCGAGACCATGTCCTGACCGGAAGACAACAACGGCTCTTGCTCACGGTTTTGATAGTTGAATGGGACGGTTTGTGGTAGCACCCAGTCGTTTGCCGACAATGAGATTAGATACATGAATGGAACTGCCCACACGAGAAAAGTAAAGTAGGCGAGTGTCTCGGTGAACGTGTGGAAAGACGAATTGAACATTCGAAGGGCGACAAAGTGGTGCAAAGCACAGGCAACTAGACTACCTATGAATGGCACAGAACCAAAGTGAAAGGCGGGAAAGTGTTTCAGCAATGACCAATAGAAAGCATGAGCAAACAGTCCCACAACAGTCGTCACCAGAGTTACTTGGTCAGTGAAAAACACAACCAGTTGCAGAAAGCATTCAGAAACAATCAAGTAGCGGATGACTTTACCCGTGGTCACCGTGTACTCCTCGACTAATTCCGTGACATACAAAAGGCCAGCTGCCAAACAGAACAGACCCGCGAAACCATACACCATGACAGTGACGTAGGACAGAAGCCAGAGCATTGCAAACTGAAAACAAAAAAGGCAGGTTTCCGTATGAACTATAAGCGGCTTTCCTAGTCAACAACTTCGAGCAATCATGGACAGCAACAAATGGGATGCAATACACCTTTGACTCAAAAGTTGCCGACAGACCGCTGATGATAGGAGGACGGGAAATTTCAACATAAACAAATCTACTCACCACTTAAAGGATACGGCAGGTTTGGTTACTTATAGATTATATGGGCCAGTTGAGTTGGCATTGAAGTGCAGGAGTACTTTAACGGGCTTAATTTCACCCAAGGGTAGGATGCTGCAAAGGTGTGCGAATCGACTAAACGGAGAATGCCATTACAGTAGTATCGCAGCATGCTCCTCTCCAACCAAATCGATATCACCAGGATCTCGTACGAGTTGGCTGGAAATGTATACCTTTTAACAGAGGTCTCAATACATCCGTGTTATTTAGGAGTCAGTCGTTGATAAGTACTGTACGTTCATAAACCGAGCAACGATACTGGGAACCATGTTTTCCAAACTGTGATCTCTGCACAGTCGAGACATTTGCAATCCAATGACTTAACACCTACATCGTGTGTGCATTATCAAACAGACACCCGTTTATTCACACACCCAAAGAGCGATAACCTGTCTTTATTGGGTGACATCGCCCATTTTGACATCAGCCACCTGTCAAAACAACTTTGCGGAATTCGAGTTGTCCACACTGTATTTGCTCACAATGAAGGTACTTCAAAAGGGAGTGTAACTTGGGGCAAGCAAAGAAAATTCATATATTCTCTTAACCCATTGTTGAAGGATGTAACCGTCCAAGCCTTGGCTGTGCCACGAACAGCTGAGTGCAATAATCCGGTAACTTGGAATAAAAACCGTTGCAATAGCAAAAAAGTGGAGGTATTTAGGTGGAAAAATAAGACGAATCAGCTACAAATTTAGCAGAACAAAGGTCTGAACTACTGCGACAACGAGAGATCTCACCGGCACCATGTGAAAATTCGGCTTGAAGAGGAGAATGGCTATGAGTGTCATTCTGGTAATGAGCAAATTGATCCTTTTTTGTCTCAGTCGATTAATCACTGGCTTAAATTAAAAAGGATTTAAAATAGTTGTCGCACCTGAAAGATGTAATCTTTTGAAACTTGGACACAGCCTCTGCTACTGACGAACTTATCAACCAACACATCTTTTCTTTGAGTACGACGTCACAGACCAGTGAACTCTTATAGTATAGACTCAATGGAACAACTTCGCCTACTTCGAGAACAATTTCCCAGGAAATCCCTAAGATCACATCTGTCGCTAGTAGTTGTTGCCAACCCTGCCCTTCTATCGACGACTCGTGATTCTCCATTGTTAATGTTGCTCTGACTGACCTAGTCCCTTTCAGAAGCACCCTTTCCGACAGAAACAAAACTTATTCACATTCGACGCGAGGTAGATTATCGAAGTTACACACTGCGCATAGTACGAAATGGCGCTATGAGGCGGAGGCATTGAGATCACGAGACCCATCGAATCACATAGACAATTGGAATCGCGCGATGCCACCAGAAGAGAGAGTTCGATGAAGTTGACAAAGTGAGTTGGTGAGAATGGCTGTCATAAGCACCAAGTAAGTGAACAGGAATTACTTTGGAATACTCAGTAGCAAGCAATGCATTTATCCTAAACTTCCACAGGGGACTTGCACTTAAGATCCGTATTGCACGCATCACTAGGAGACCCAGCCAAATGAATTGCAGACGTCCTTTCCGGTGAATAAATTATTCGGTGGAGACTTCATTTGCATGAATACGCAGCAGTGAACCAAAAATGTTGCAACTGAATTAGAAAAATCTACTGATGGTTGTGAACTTAATGTTCTTGCATAAACAGGCCGAAAACTGTATTCCTTCTCGTATGAACATAGACGCGCGAGCTAGAGGACTCCGTATTTAGATTTCTGCTCTCACACTAATTCACTACAACAGTCAGCACTCCATAGAGCCCCAACTGATCTGGGATACATGATTCTATTATAGCAAAACGTGTTTAATGGGTCTTCTCACAGATGATAAAACTCATTTTTCATTGATACACTAAATCAATCCGGTTGTCTTCGCAATTGGTGACCATGTGCTTCCTGTCACCTTGAAGTGTCATATTTTCCATAATAATTCCCACCCCACTTAAGGATTTTCACTTGCTTGAACGAGGCCTGAAGCTCAGTTTAGGGATGAATCGTGCCACCACATTCAGGCCTGTATATTGCCTGTAAACATGTCTTCTGTCCCTGGTAAATTTTGTTCACATTCACCTAACAGCATATCACAATCTCCAAACTGGGTTCTCGTTTGGCAGAAAGCATTTGGGACAAAGCTTGTCCATTTTGTGCGTTCCGAGTAGGACGTAGAGTTCATTTCAGCGACAATTTCCAATCAGGTTATCACGCTGAACCTCTTGGGTTTATATTACATTTGAGGGTTTTATACAGGTTTGATTTCACTCCCATGAACACCTCTATTCAAGTAATCTCGGAATCGACGGAAGTTGCCTTCTTTAAGTAGGTGAGAAATCTCTCTAGAAAGACCGCATCTATACAGAGATCACCCAGTTTGTGGCATATTCCGTCACTCTAGATAAACATAACACGTAAATAACTGTCAACATATCAGTAACCTTGGCACATTCCGCACACATTAAGACAGTCAGGACACACCATGGAATTGCATCTGAACGACTTTCGCTCGATTTACAAGAAGGCATCCTGTAAATTGTTGCCAGACCTGGATTGAGAACTCAAGCATCTGTTTTTTAACTGAAGGACGATGTAAAATACACTCTCGACCCCGTACATATGGTGCATCTGCCGTGTTCACCGTTCATGACACCAGTAAGCATGAGCGAAAGGATCAGTCGCAGCTGGACACGCACCGTTTGCGGATTACATCGGAAGACAGTTTACCATCGATCACCACGTCTACAATAGCATGTCTCAGATCAATAAACCGATGCAGACAATCAATAACTTCAAAATTTTTGTTATGCACTACTCGTAAGGTTGCTGAAAACTCGTCGACAGCTCACGACCGGTTTCGCTCTTCTTGGGGCTCATCAGGTAGGCGCAGTCCCCGAGTTTCCGTCAACCTTATGTTCTTACTTGAAACAAACTGCACGAAATAAGCGAATATACTGATTTCCACAGCAACGACGCCGTAAGCCGCATTCTCTCTCCTTGTCGCAAGACCAATAATGGTTAGCCGTTGTTTGGATTCCGTACTAGCGGGGTGAAATGGCTCAGTGGTTAGAGCACGAATTTACTGACCGGAAGGTCCGTGGTTCGAAACCCGACCTCCAAATCTCGACTTCCCCTGTCTAGGCTTGGGCAACCTGGCAGCATTACAGCCCTTGTGCTTCCTTCGGGTGGCATGGCAGCTAGGCACCGAAAAAGCGCTACAGCCGAACGATTATATCTTTCACACACGTAATGCACTACTCGATAGCCCACGATCGGTTTCGCCCTTCTTGGGGCTCATCAGGTAGGCGCAGTCCCCGAGTTTCCGTCAACCTTATGTTCTACTTGGAACCAGATTGCACGAAATTAGCGAAATACAGACGAATTAAGTTTTGCGAGAGACTGACCTGGAACCCAGCTGAATCTCTCGTTTGTGATATTTCATACTAGAAATTATCTACCACACATCATAAAAAAGTTTATAGGCGTCTTTCCGTGAGGTGGATTAATAGAAAACTCCTTACAAAACCATCACGTGAATATTATTTACAATACGTTCAGAATACCTTAGGTTACGCTGAAAAATACCGTTGTATCTCGTTTGAACACTCCGCTCCATCTCAGATAGTCTCTTCTGGGTAGCCCATACTAGAGTACTTTTCAGTCTTGTTGTGCACAAACCAGGAAATTGCACCATGCTAGGAGTTACAAGGTTCAAATGGGGGTGACGTGAAAGTAAATTTTTGAAATTTCGCAACTGCTCATGTGAAATACTGTTGTTTTCCGTTTAAATTCTAGACTTTTTGGCTACTTGGTGATGAGTAGGCAAATAGCGAACCCATCGCTAGTCTGGTTATCCTTGCCTACCAGCTTGGAGGGGACACACCTATGCATATTCGGTGAAACCGCATCGACAATACGAGGTTCAGTCAACCTTTCTGTTGCAAACGAACTATGTATACAGTGTAGTGCCGTGTTTTTATCAGTAAAATGTATTCAGGATCGACGAGGCGACGTGACCTAAACTAGTGAATTTAAGGTTCACCTAATTCCAGTTCGCATGGACCGAGAACTCTCGTTCGCAATTGTACGATACTACCAAAGACAGAGAGGTTTCAGCAGACAATAGAGTTGCAAAATTCATACAAATATAATTCCTGTCCTAACACCGGTTGTTGTTGTTGTTGTTGGGGTGGGAGTATGACTGTTGGTCCTCCAGGCTAGTTCGGGAAGTAATGAACTTTGTGGAGAATGGGTCATCTAGATCAATGTTAATCGAAGTTAGGAAAGCAATCGACTAAACTTTAGTGTGCCCCGCTAGCAGCTTCATTGCCAAACAGTAAGACAAAAAACGCTTGGATCTCTTCAGGCTAGTTGTAAACAAAACAGTTAGGTAATCCAATTTCATTTGTTGGTTTTTCTTTGTAACTCTTGACGGCATAAAGCAGCGAACTGAAAAGTTGTGCAGGCTAAGCTAAGTGAAATATTCAGTTGGATCTCCTCATTAGCTACAGACTGTAAGTAACCTACAAAGGAAAAAACTGTAAGTTGCGTGCACCCTCCATCAGTGCGGCAGTCAAACGAGCAACCAGGCAGGAACCGATCTCGTGACGTGAAACGCACGACTCAAGGAGTTTATTGCCACATCCTGTCTCAGGGTGAGTTAACCACACTGCTAATCGCCACTCATGACCGAATAGATGTTTTAGGTTATCAATCGGACGGTCATGAATTTGAACCACCAGAAGGATTATTACGAGATGTGGTACCGTTTCCATACGGGGAGGAAACAA